GTGATCATAAGCACAGCACCAAACGTCGACTTTGACAATAGCATACATCACGTTCTGAAGCACATATCACCAATATATGCTTCAGAACGCGTCCAACCAGTACATCCTGGTGTATCAAAGATCAACAACTCAGCAAGATAACTCTCAACTCACAATGCAGAAAAACCAGACGCTGAGCGCCTTTCGTGGTCATATCATGGACCATAGAGCTGGTGAAGGACGCCACTACGCCTTACTGTTACTGGGGTTTATCTCCATAAGCATCTTTTTTATATTACTATATGCTGTAAAAAAACAAACAAAAAACAGTCCAAAACTACCCAAAGGTATTTGGATCTACACCCCACCGACCTCAATGACAGTTCATTTGCGGGTCCACAACACCAAATACCGAGTAAAGTGCATTCTTCACTCCCGGGTGGCCTAACGATAATCGTTAAGTTCATCATTAAAAACGCGCAATTTGTGGTTGAATTTTCGAGTTCTGTGGCTTTCTTAATCCCAAAAATGGTAAAATAATCCAATGACAGCCTGCCACGAGCCACTGGCGATCAAGTATTGACAGCACCAGCTCAAGACCCTGTTGTATTCAAAGCTGATCTGGCCCCACTCATATGTACGGTATACGAGCAATCACGAACCAACGTTGGCAAATGGCGATTACATCGCCTCCTATGTACATGTCTGAAGTCGAATGAAGCCGAACAGCTCTTGATAGTCACCATCATACCCTCTGCGGCTCTCAGGACGGGAATGTAAGGCTCGAATAGTTCAGAATCTAACGGAGCACGGCGGAGCACCACTTCCTGAGCCCGAATATAACAGAGCACGGCGAAGCTCGGCCCGAGCAGCCGTGTTCCGCCTCCTGAAACCAGTGCTAAAATTGTCATCCATTTGTTATCATGCATCCAGAAGTGAGGCCAATGACAAGAGCAAGACCAGCTGGTATGGGCACGAGCTCGTCAAATTTCAATGAAGACGCCTGTCAGGTGTAAACCCGACATTTCTGGCGCGAAGTGTCAGCCGTGAACCCAATATTTCTGGCGCAGTGTGAGCCACCGCCGCCATTGCGGGGACGGGTACCTGTTCTGTCGCGGTTCACACCGGCGCCGTTGCGGGGACGGGTACCTGTTCTGTCGCGGTTCACACCGGCGCCGTTGCGGGGACGGGTACCTGTTCTGTCGCGGTTCACACCGGCGCCGTTGCGGGGACGGGTACCTGTTCTGTCCCGGTTCACGCCGGCGCCGATGCGGGGACGGGTACCTGTTCTGTCCCGGTTCACGCCGGCGCCGTTGCGGGGACGGGTACCTGTTCTGTCCCGGTTCATCGAGTTCTTACAGCTGAAACGGGCGACTCTGCCGACGACAGTCAACGCTAACCACAATAGCACGCGATGATAGGGATGCAGCCAGCAACGAGTTAGCTCAGGCCCGGCGCGAGCCCAAATAATGCAGTGAAAACGCGTCCGTGGAAAGTGCTAGTTAAAACGGTAGCAGCATTCACTTTGGTATTTTGTGGCAGCATTCACATTCATGCTGTGGAAATATTTGTTTCTGAACGGATATCTTGCGCAGGGTGTTATATTGGTGTCCCTTTCGGGCATCTGGAGAGGGGCCCCAGACACCAACTCCTCAGACGAGGCGCGACCCCCCCCCCCCCCCATCCCGCTGGCTACGTCCTTGGCTTACACTATGTCTATATTCTGTCCACGATCAAGTCCATTCATGAAAACAATGGAAACCGGAAAGCAGTCCACAGACCAGTCTGTCAGAAGGCAGCTGCAGGGAGCCCGGTCACACCCCTCCAACTCGGGCGCGCCGGTGACATATTCCACCGAAGCCTGATTTGGCAGGCGGCGCACGAAGCCCGCGCTGAGTTTCGACGGTTCGACGCCGCCGGTGCGGCACAGGCCGAGCCATAACCGGCGGGATATGCGCCGACGAACGCGTCAGGTCACGGCCCTTCCTCGCCGACCATACCCCCATATCCTGGCCAGTGTGGGCCAGCGGCCGTCCGCTAAGACAGTAGGCCCACAGCAGGCGACAGGGTCTGCCCAGGGGCAGCCAGTGCTTGCCGAATAAGCCCCAGATGCTCGTGTTACGCCCCACCGAGTACGGACTGCCTGCCTGCTGGCCAGGAACGCCAGCCCCAAAGCCGGTGGCACGACGACTTGACGGTTCGGCGGCAGGCAGCACCCCCCGAAACAGCAAACCAGCCCTCTGATCAGGGGCGTGAGCGCCGCCGCCAGTGCACGCTCTCAGGCCCGCAGCGCCCACCTGCACCGGGAGACGGACGGCTTCACCCTGAAAGGCGGCCGGGAGCCGGTGCTTCATTAGCTCACTAGTCAACGCTCCCGTGGTACGTCAGCATATCTCGTTAGCCGGTTGTCGGCCGACGTGGTGCGCGTCTTCATTAGGGGCACCAAGATGAGCCAGCCCGGTCCGGTCGCGTCCGTGTTAACTCCGTGGACAGGCGTCGGCCGCTCCCGGGATCCGTCCCGAGTCTCATCTGCATCATCACCCTCGGTGTCAGACGCTGACGGCGGCCCGCGCGCTTTGCGTGGGCGCATCCCCCGCTCAATCTTGGCTGCGACGCTCCTCACTAAAGGGGATCATCAGACCCCGACGCTCCTCACTAAAGGGGATCATCAGACTCCGGCGCGCCGTGACGGTTATCAGTCACATCATCGTCGGCACATTATCTGTCGGCACAAATGGCTGCTTGGGGACGGCATCTTGGCCCCTCTCGCCACATGCAACGCTACGGTCAGCGTCATATGTCGATAGTGGTCCGAATGTGTTCACCTTCAGACTGCGGCCAACGCGCCTCCGATGGGACCATAAGAGCGTCCGTGCACGTGGTACTGGCCTATGACACTGACCCACAAACTGTGTGCTGTCGGTTAGTATCACAGATGCAAAGGCGAGTCGAAATCATCAGAATATTTCAGGACATGTACGGTTATGGCTCATGAACACGGGGAAGGTTGCTGAGCCTTCTGTCTGATTAAGCCATCGTCAAAAATAGATGGCAGGCTAGTGTTGGGCTCAGTGGCGGCCGCACGCCAGGAACATCGGCCATGTGCAAAGCTTTGTCCGGCCGGGCAGAGCCTGCCCAGAGCGTACAACTCTGTTCGGCCAGGCAGACCTCTGTCCGGACAGGCGTAAAGCTCTGTTCAGCCAGGCTGAGCCCTGTCCGGACATGCGTAGAGCTCTGTTCGGCCGGGCTGAGCCTTGCGCCTAGTCGACAGTGTCCGACGCGCGCTGCACTCAGCGTCCCGCCTTCATTCGTCCCAGCCATACGCTCAGCGCCCCTGGCACATACAGGAGAGGCGACGAGCGCGCACCGCTTCCTCACTTTGAAAATGTTATAATGTTATAATGCTTTGCAAATTCAACGCAAGTCGCCTGGACTGCCAGCCGTAAGCCAGATGACAGTCGGCACTGCCAGCCGAGCTGTAAGGCCAGCTGACAGTCGGCACTGCCAGCCGAGCTGTAAGGCCAGCTGACAGTCGGCACTGCCAGCCGAGCTGTAAGGCTAGCTGACAGTCGGCCCTGCCAGCCGAGCTGGAAGGCCAGCTGACAGTCAGCCCTGCCAGCTGTAAGGCCAGCTGACAGTCGGCCCTGCCAGCTGTAAGGCCAGCTGACAGTCGGCCCTGCCAGCCGAGCTGGAAGGCCAGCTGGCAGTCGGCCCTGCCAGCTGTAAGGCCAGCTGACAGTCGGCCCTGCCAGCCGAGCTGGAAGGCCAGCTGGCAGTCGGCCCTGCCAGCTGTAAGGCCAGCTGACAGCCGGCCCTGCCAGCCGAGCTGGAAGGCCAGCTGACAGTCGACCCTGCCAGCCGAGCTGGAAGGCCCGCTAGCCGCGAACTACGGCACGTTCGGCCCAGGCAACAACGGCGCGCACTTCTCCCCGGGGAACAGCGTTCGACGAACACGGCGCGCCGGCAGCTCTCGCCCGACAGTCTCTCCGGGCCCCAGGTACCAGGAAGAGGCTATTAAAACTCGTCCCGCCACCTGACGATCCGGCAGCCCCAGCTGGATCGTGCGATCCAATTTGCGATCCACTTAAGGAAGGCCTTCGACCCTCGCCGGGTCTTAAGGGAACGCGCGACAGGAAAAAATTAGTTTTCATCCCTTTTTGTGCGGGACAAAGAGAACTCCTACTGATTGTCACTCCATAGGACATCCGTGAGCTGTAGAAGGCAATGATGTTATCACTTATTGTTTGCAAAGGATAAAATACTCGTCCATGGCAACATATGATTACGTCTCAGCAGGCATGCACCATGATTGGCCGTGGGTGCAGGCCCATAACAGATTCCGGCCGATGAAAGCCGTGCGAGTTCTGGGCCGCGGGGCATGACGAGACGCATCGATTTAAGCCAGGCATCCGAGTCAACGCGGTGTTCGCGTAAGTTTATACCAAAAACGCATCGCTAGATGGCAGGACCAGTAGAAAACTGCAAATATCGGCTGCGCCGCAGCGCACAGCGCCGAAAGCCCATCTCGTCCCGGGGCCGCAGTGGCGTCGCTGGCTTGGGGAGATGCGTATGCCCAGTGCACGGCGAGCAGGGCGGGCAGGGCGGGTCGTCACGTGATCAGCCGCATTCTAGCATTGTGTGCCCGCTAGTTACGCGATGGCGATCACGCGGAAGCCGGCCAGGCACGCCAGGCCAGAGCCGCGTCAAACGAAATCGGCTACCAAACATGACGCCGGACTGGCGTCCCACTATCACGGCCAGACCGCTGCGTTTCAAGCAGACATGCGCTACGATCCCGCCGCATTGTTCGGTAGCACGAGTCCTTGCTGGGGTCCTGGGGGACGTTTGTTTGGTAGGGGTCCTGGGGCGGTCCCAGTCCGCAACCGGACCAAAACTGGCGGCAGTTAGAGTCTGAATGCACAGTGATGAGACAACGTCGGAATGCGGCTGGTCTGTGTGCCGGTGTCAGCGCGGCGCACCCGCCGATCCGTTGGCCCCCGGCGGCAGTGGCGGGACCTCACCTGCAGCGGCTGGGCGGCGCAGCACTCGACTCTGAACTCCGATCCACCTGAAACAGCGGAGCGGCGCCGCTTGAGACAGCGCTCGAGTCCCGGCCGACGGGCGAGGCCGGCGCTGCACACTGGCAGACGGATCGCCTGCACGTGGCCCTAACACCGGCGCCAGCCTGGCCGCCGCCGTCCCTGGCACCATTACACCGTACGCGACGCGGTCCACGCGGGCCGCAGCAAAGTGACTTTTATTCTTAAGGACAATGTCAAAATGCTGTTGTTGGCTGATTTTTCCAGATACCCATAAAATATATACTGAAAGATAGGCATCTTAAAAAAACATTCGTTGGTTAATACAAAACGCATACTGTACACACACCCAGCTGAGCCAGCTAATACAAAACATCGGCACGCATTTCACCAGCAAACACCATGTCATATGCAAACAACAGTCAATACTCCAGCAAATTAGCATGACGTGCAACAAATACAATGCCTTACGAAGCATCCCGATATTCAGTATCGGACGGAGCATTCACGCTCAGAGCAATTACCGTCCAGGTAACCATACATGTCCTGCCACAGATGCTTCATACATTATGGATTTCATACATATTGATCTATTGCTGAGCATCACCACAATAAGTCATTAGCACCATCTCAGGGGTTCAACGAACCTCGCGCATGTATCACTCCACGCATGGTTATTCTCACATACGCCCAAAGCAAACGCCAAGAACTGAGAACAACGGCCCGCAAACATGCACATAAAAGACAGGCGGGACCTGCCCCAGGGCCGGCTGCAGGCTTACAGGCCTGCCCCAGAGCCGGCAGCAGGCTAACAGGTCTGCACCGGAGACGGCAGCAGGCTAACAGGTCTGCACCGGAGCAGGCCCCCGAGACGGCAGCAGGCTTGCAGGTCTGGCCAAACGCAAGCGTGTTCCAATCTGAGCGGGATGGCAGACCCCGACAGCCCCAGGAGATCCTGGCCACTCGTGCCGTCCTCTCACATCCCCACTGTACACGGCCCAGCCTAATAACACGCACAGACAACGATGTCTCGTGCCGTCCTCTCACATCCCCACTGTACACGGCCCAGCCTAGCAACACGCACAGACAACGATGTCTCGTGCCGTCCTCTCACGTCCCCACTGTACACGGCCCAACTTAGCAACACGCACAGACAACGATGTCTCGTGTCGCCCTCTTACATCTCCACTGTACACGGCCCAGCCTAGCAACACGCACAGACAACGATGTCTCGTGCCGTCCTCTCACGTCCCCACTGTACACGGCCCAGCCTAGTAACACGCACAGACAACGATGTCTCGTGCCGTCCTCTCACGTCCCCACTGTACACGGCCCAGCGTAGTAACACGCACAGACAACGATGTCTCGTGCCGTCCTCTCACGTCCCCACTGTACACGGCCCAGCCTAGTAACACGCACAGACGATGTCTCGTGCCGTCCTCTCACGTCCCCACTGTACACGGCCCCATTTAGCAACAAGCGCAGACAATTGCCAAATACGCACTCGGGTCAAACCCAGATGTGCGGACATCATTTTTATAGTTCAGGCGCCCCAAAAATTAACTCCGCCGATTCAAATGAGCTTGGTGCTTTGTGACTGGCAGAAGCCTGGACCTCTAATCCTCTATCTTAGCTACATACCTGGTTCCGCCCTCCATCCTCACATCCTTCGTGATACTGGTCCAAAAGTACCTCCATCCTTTTTCAGTATCACTGCCGTACACTAAATGCACAGCATGCGTGTGGACGCAGCCGCCAAAAGAATGAACGCCAGTATGCGCAATCGGCATACGGCAACTGCAGTCCCTGACACGGCTGCCCAACGGTCGGGGGCAATCTTTGGTGCCCGTCAGTTATAGCGGCGGAGCAATAGCATCAGCGTAGCACACGGAAAGGGTCAAGGCTGCCGACGCTGCGTACTTGTCTAGCGGGCGCACTTCAACGCATAATGAATCGCAAATTGTCAACGTGTTGCACATGAAACCACAAATATGAATGCATATATGTATGCATGTATGTATGTATGTATGCATACGTGGATGCAGATATATATATATATATATATATATATATATATATATATATGTGTGTGTGTGTGTGTATCGTCCCTAAATGAGGTGAAGTGTGACTGAGGGGTTGAGGAGGACCCATCACACATCAACCAAATCTAATTAAGCTGCTCTATCAGAATCACGTGTCTGATAGTTATAAGACAGACGAGCGTACCCTCACGAAAATAACATCTGAAAACGTCAAGCCCGCCAGCCAAGACGACAGAATGACGCTCTGCAATCAAAAGATGTTGGTGTCACTACAACCACACTTTCAACGCGGTTGGCGATCCACTTGGCTGCCGGTCTTCCAAGAGCACGTGAGAAAAGAACACGTAACATCGTCCGAGACGACCTCACCAGGGACACTACCATCATAAAATAATCGCCAAACAGGAGGAAGCTTTATGTTCTGGAGGCTGTCACGATCAAAACATTATCACTGGAACAAAACAAGGAAATAAACCCCTCCGTCACCCTGTACCTCATTTAGGGATGATTGCCGCCATCCGTAGATGGTGTATCTGTATATATTTGTGTATATATATATATATATATATATATATATATATATATAGCAAGAGACAGAGACAGGGAAAGAAAGAGAGAAAGAAAAAGAGAAAGAGAGACAGAGACAGAGACAGGGACAGAGACAGAGACAGAGACAGAGACAGACAGAGACGAGAGACAGCGATACGAGAGGAGAGGGAGGAGGGATGAGGAGAGGGAGAGGAGAGAGAGAGAGAGAGAGAAGAGAGAGAGAGAGAGAGAGAGAGAGAGATAGATTAGAGAGAGAGAGAGAGAGAGAGAGAGAGAGAGCGAGAGAGAGAAAGAGAGAGATCGATATACTCTCCTATCGCTCTATCGCTCCTACTATCGAAGTTCTATCTCTCTGCTCGTCTCTAATATCTCGAGTCGCTCTATCTCCTCCTCTCTCGATCTCTCGCTCTCTTCGGCTCTCCTCCTCTCGCTCTCATCTCTTTACCTCCTCATATAGAGAGAGAGAGAACAGAGAGAAAGAAGCAGCACGTCTCCAGTTCAACCATCGCCTCTGTTACAAGCTGATGTCGAGAGATGTCAGCCACTCGAGCGAGACGCTGGCCACTACCACGCACGAACTGAAACGAGGCCCTGGACGCCCACTGACATCGGGTCCGTGACCGAACGTAAATGGGGCCGACGGCACGGGGCCACAGCCGGTGCGGTCCACCGCTGGAGCAAGACCACGTGTCACAGCTAACGTTCGAATACGTAACTAACGTCAGACCACGCGCCACAGCTAACGTCAGACCGCGTGTCACGGCTGACATCTAACCACGTGCCGTATCTAACGATAGACTGCGTGCCAGAGCCAACGCCCGACCACATGCCGTAACTAACGTCAGACCACGTGCCGCAACTAACGTCAGACCGCGTGCCACAGCTAACGTCTGACCACGCGCCGCAACTAACGTCCAACCACATGCCGCAACTAACGGCAGACCACGTGCCACAGCTAACGGTCGACCACACACATGTGCCTCAGGCAATAGCAGGCAACCACCACCCCAGGTAATCTGGCTTGTTTGAATACGGATGCACGATAAACAAACATCGCTCATTCCGTGAGCGAAAGACACGATAACAATCCATAGTAAATCGGAAATTATATCAAAGAATCGGCGGGAGTTGCCAGAGGTAAGGAGAGTATACGTTTTCGCACCGTTTCTGTAAACAGCGAAACTCATTATTCCGTGCGCTTCTGAGGCACCTTTGGAAACTCTCAATTAGCTCCAATCAAAAGCCACATTTTTCAGCAGTCAACGCACAGCCCAATTCACATCTCACCTACAATGGCTGCCAATCCCTGGGAATGCTGACTCACGATTAAGTGGCTAACCGGATGTCCCAACCTGCGAAATTTATTCAGCCTGTTCCTTTCATTCCGCCGCCGGGCTCAGCCTTTATCATGAAATGCCAAGCTTCGATGCTCGAACCCGTACTATCTTACTTAGCACCCGCCAAAACCCTGCCTCCAGAGGCCTTTGCAGCCAACACTGCACGTAACGAAATGCGAAATATGCCATCCAAAGATTGACTGGGCCACGGAATGAGAAGACTGGCCACCAGGCCCGGGACGCCCATCCGCGCGGCATGCTGGCCGGCCGACGCGTGGCCGCTGTGCGGCGGTCCAGAAGGCCGCAAGGCGTGGCCCGTCCGGCGAGACGCGTCGGTCCCCACGCCGCTTTGGCGTCATCCAAAATGAGGTGCTTTCCGCTGGCCCAAGACGGGCGAGGGTGGGTGACCTCACCTGGGTCGCGACTCCTACCACTGACAGCAGACTGTCGGTCACAGGGGTCATCCCCGTTGGCAGCGGTGTCGGGCACGGCGGGACGTCTGGTGCGCAAGGGGCACGGTCACCACACCCCTGCTGCCCCTGGGGGCGAGTGGTGGCACTAGCGGTGGTCGCTATCGACTTTCCGTTACTGGGCTCGGCGCCGGTCACCGGCGGTCAGAGCGTCTTCTCCCGCGCCCGGCGCGTGCACTCCGTCTGCGCACACGATCGATGGCCGCGGACGAGCCCACCGACCGTCGGCGAGGGGAGGCCGCCGTCGCTGACCGGTTATGGATAGCTACTGAGCGCGCTCAAACGGCGCCGGAAGAAGAGTCACGGGAGCGCCGCGGGCGACGCCGCAGGGTTATGGGCGGCTGGTGCCAACGCTATGGGTGATTGCATAAGACACACCTCGGGGAGCGACGAGGCGAAAGGAAAAACGGACGAGGCGAAGAGAGGAAAACGGAGAACGTCCTGCGAGTTCCGCGACCCCGATAGCTCTGTCCGCGCGTAGGCAGAGGGGGGGGGGGGGGGCCTCTGCCAGCACACGCGTGAAAAAGCAACTGTGCCAAAAACATACCATCGTAAGCAACAAAGAAAGTCATGAGAACAACAAAGATTTGCGTTTTCACCGGCTCTTACGCAAGATGATATAAGATATGACTGATGGTTTGGGATGATACATGTATCAAGACCATGCCACATGGCATTGCTTACTCCCGTAATATACGTAGTTTATATTATATATATATATATATATATATATATATATATATATATATATATATATATATATATATATATATATATATATATGTTCATTTCTACATAATTGAGCCTTTAACTAATCCTGCGTCTGCTTTCAGAAAAGTTTACATGATTTCGAGAGCCAGTTGGACGCAGGGTCACGGGACACATCCCGACAGCATCTAGAAGGCGACGGCAGGGCCTCCGAGGGCCGAGGGCCGAGGAGTTCCAACCGAGGGCCGAGGAGCTCCAACCGAGGGCCGAGGAGCTCCAACCGAGGGCCGAGGAGCTCCAACCGAGGGCCGAGGAGCTCTAACCGAGGGCCGAGGAGCTCCAACCGAGGGCCGAGGAGCGGTCATCAGCCCAGCCCTCCCCAGCCGTAGATCAGTCCGCACCAACACACGGCCCGATGCACTCTCTATATCTCTTGTACACGAATTGCATTGGCTTCATTGCCCTTCCGCGCCTGACAAGCCTAGAGTCTGTCCTTGTACCGTCACCATGTTTATAACAGTGCCCTCGTTGCGGGGTTTCAGTAACATAACACACGGCTTGACATATGGCTTTTACTGGTGGCTTATGGCCCAGTGGTGGAGACTGCCAACCGGCGTCTGCGTGTAAACGGTAACAGACGTCAGGTCTAAAGACGTAAGAGCAGTGTTGTTGATGTAAGAGGAGCATCAGTACCCTGTCGCCAGGCAACCGTGTCACCTCCAGTGCTGTCAAAGCTTTCAGTATCGTATGTTTGAAAATCGCAGTTCGTTTTTGATGCCTGCAAAGGCCAGCACCTACACTGCAAATGAGGGGCAAGCTTTAACGTTATTACAGATCTCTTTTCGTCGCATGAGTGCTCCGAGCTGTACAAACTGAAGCTACGACTGGCATCTGATAAATCGCGACTTTGCACGTCTCGATGCGTTAACGCTACTTCATACATTGAGCAACCAGCTAAAATCCATACTTGCACACAACTGTGTAGAAGTTTAACAGGTTAAACCTAAAAGTAGTAATTTTCGGATGACGATGCATTTCATGCCCACCGATTTCCGAAATATGAAGAACACATATCAGGCACTCAAACGCCGGGCGGCCAGCGCGAAGCGGCCCAAGATAACCGAGGCCCAAGATAACCGACTAAAAAAAAACCGACAACGGCCGGTTGTGAGGCAGTCCGGCCCCGTGCCGTCACTTCCCGTCCGGTGGAGAAGCCGGCCGGCCGCGCTCCCGCCCACGCCGTCGACCCGAGACTCCCGGCGATGTGACGTCACAGCTCGTCGGCCGGGTGTGGGCGGGGCCGCCGGTCGCAGACCGATGAACGGGAGCGACAGCAAGCCGACCGGCAGCACGGGAGCGCGCCACGGCGCCACCGGACGCCGCCCGCAACCGAGGCCGTACAGAGCGAGCCGGCGTGGGCAGAGGCCACCCGACACCGCGAGGGTGCCTGGCTCAGGAGCGGTGTCAGCCAGCAGGCGCACATGTACATCACGGTTAGTGGCACACTTCGTGATAAGGTGCTCCCAGCCGGAGTGAACTCGGAGGAAAACTTTTGTCCACTGAAAGTTCACGATTTCTGTTTCAGTGTGGTCTCGTACTGGCTGAAGACGCGACCGCTTACCTCCACGGCCGTGGCCGGAAATAGCATTCAGAACTTCTCAATCGCGCACACAGGGCCCAAGTGAGTTATAATCACTGCCGTCGCCCGTCAGAAGGTCTGTGATCCCCAGGGCTTGCCACCAAGGCCCTGGAGCGCCCATTGCAAACGGGACCGACCACTGACGCGTGCCACCTGAGGCACGGTTTGGCTGCATGGCTTTACACGCAATTCTACGACATCGTGATCATAACTACATCCGGCCAATTATCTCAGTTTACAACGGAAGCATCGGCGACACAACCCAGTTAGAGATGGTCATTGAAAAGAGACCTATAGCAGACGACAGCATTGTCATGATTCCCCGTGGCCTGTCTCTTTCCTACCACAAGTTTATTTTACCAGTAGTCGACGACTGCAAGTGACTGCAACGAGGCGAGATCCCCGGCACTGCTGGGACATCTTCTATAATGATACCCCGCCCGCAAAACACGTCCGGATCAAGATCCAGACGATGCATGAGATATGTACTTCATCTAGATGTTCTATCCGGCTCATGGCGCCCGTCCACTGGTGACCAAGTCAATCTCAAAGAGACTGGGACTTTTGCTCAGGGACGTCAAAAGGACGCCGCATGCCCGAGGTTACCGCAGGAGCTGTGTCAACACTGCACGCCATAAACAGACTGACGGCAGTATGCTTGGAACTGGTGGAGAGGCTCGCAGTCAACAGGCAGACCCACGCAAGGGTTGTTGCGTGGCAACCCGTCTGCGGCGAGGTACGAGTCGCTACATTGGTGACAAACCACACCAACGGTTGGCGGAACATTCCGACAGTGACCACGACAGTCCGACAGTGAACAGGACAGCTCGACAGTGATCAGGAGAGTCCAACAGTAAACAAAACAGTCCGATAGTGACCGGAACAGTCCGACAGTTGTGAGGGCATAGCACGGTGAAGATCAGAAGAGCCCAGTGTAGGTGGTCCAGATGGATAACGGGGCAATTCAGTGGCGAACAGTCCCGACAGTTGACAGGAGAATCCGTCAGATGGCGGGCCAGTCCGTCAGCCAAAGGAACAGTTCAACAGCTTGAGGACAGTTCGCTAGACAGCGGGACAATCCACGAGTCGGCGATACAGCCAGCTGTACAGTCTGTCATCAGCGTCACACGCTGCCCTTCGCCCACTCCGTTCTCACGTTTGTGGTGAGTTGGCGGCCCGGCCGCAGGAGATCTCCCGGGATCCCTCCGTCGCGGTCCGGCCGTCGGGGATCTCCCGGGCTCCCTCTGTCGCGGCCCGGCCGTCGGGGGATCTCCCGAGCTCCCTCTGTCGCGGTCCGGCCGTCGGGGATCTCCCGGGCTCCCTCTGTCGCGGCCCGGCCGTCGGGGATCTCCCGGGCTCCCTCCGTCGCGGCCCGGCCGTCGGGGGATCTCCCGAGCTCCCTCTGTCGCGGTCCGAC